ATCTTCTATTCCATCTGTGCCTGAAGCAATTGTCATGATAATAAAGGGATGGAAAGGACACAGTGTGTGTACTCCACTCTATGTTTGGATCATGTGTCTCAAGCCATTGGATTCCAAGAATCAGAGGGTACCTTCATGCATCAATTATGTCAAACTGGTGGTCTTCAATATGGTTTCCAATTTTAACTTCAACAGGTGGTGTTTCCTTAGTTATGGGTGCATTGATCAGTGGACAGCCATCTACAGTTTTGAGCATTAGGGGCAATATGTTATTGTGAATGGGCAGCTTGTCTTGAAGAACTACAGAATGGTCAATGCTGTTTCTGTAGGAGCCTTAATCCACCAATGTTTGCTCAAAGAATTTTTGTCTTCCCAGTTGAAGTTCAACAGTTATCCATAGGGTATGGGACATGGATATTGGAAGAGAGGGGGGCATATATTTGTAGATTGGCCCCCCCCAGGATCCCCCTTACCGCTGGGCTTCCCACCTGTTGGACACAACAAGGTTTAACAGGGAAATTTCTGGCAAAATGACCAGGATGACCACAGTAGAGGCACAAGTGGCCTTCACGGCAGTGGGCCCATTCAGCATCACTGAAGTGTGGGTGGTGGCTTGCAGCTCTCATATGGTGGTTTTCAGCTGGTGGGCTTTCAGGATTGTTGCTTTCTTCAGAGGAGCTTTCTTCTGTTTGTATCGGATCAGGCTTACCACTTAGGCTTTCTTCTAGGCTGATGCACTGGATGATCAGATCAGATAGATTAGTGGCTGGGCTTGTATGAGACAGTTCATATTGCATAGAACTGTAAAGTCCATCCTGAAATTGAATGCAGAGAGTAATTTCATCTTTTTTTAGCTCTTGAGCAATGAGATGGAAGTGGGTTGTGTACTGGTGGACAACGTCCTTCCCTTGACAGAGCTGTTGGATGTGGTGGTTGGCATCTTGCCTGTTTTCTGAATTGTTGAAAGTATCCTGAAGCACCCATATGAAACTTTCTAATTGATCCAATAGGGTGCTTTGGACATCTATTAAGGGCTGGAGCCACTTTCTTGCTTCACCCGAGAAGCAGTTGCCAATGAAACTCCCCAAGGCTGCTTCAGTGGGATACTGGTGGCCTCTGACTTTCATGTGATGATTCAGTTCAACCACGAACTCAGGTAGCTTCTGGACATCCCCATTGAAGAGGTATTCAAGGAGAAAAAGTGGCAGCCTCTAACCTACTAGGAGTCTGTGGGAACTCTGGATCTACTGATGTCTTGATAGCTATTAGGTTGTCCTGAAGCTCATGCTGTGCTGAGAGCTCTAGGAACTTCTGGGCATCTAGGGAATCCAGGGACTGCTGGGGAGATGGTAGCTCAGGTGTTCTGGGGTCTCCTGGTATGCTGGTGCTTTCTGGGACTGGGTATTTGGGAAATCCTGGAGATCTGAATTCTGGGGCTCATGGACTATTGGGGCATCCTGGGTCTGCAGGTTCTTGAACCTCCTTGATTGCTGGGGGTTTGTGGGTCACTTGGGCCATTGGAAACTTGTGGGGTTCCTTGGCCTCAGGGGACTTATGGAGCTCTCATGCTGATAGGAACTCATGGTCCATTGGAAACTCCTGGAAGTCCTGGGTTGCTGGGAGTTCCAGGGGCTTCTGGGACTTCTGGGCTTCTGGGAAGTCCTGAGGCTCTGTGGGCTTCTGGGATTTCTTGACCTTTGTGGAATCTTGGTGCTTCCAGGCTGCTGGGAGAGCCAGAGGCTTTGGGAGTTGCTGGAAATTCTGGACCTCTGAGGGCTTCTGGAATGGTTCATCCTCTTTGGGTGTTTGGAGCTCTGGAACTCTAGGATCTGTGACTGAAGGGCAGCATTTTGTTTCATCAGCTGCTGTACTTGGGTCTGTAGAATTTAATTCTCCAATGTCAGAACAATATAGGAGCCTGCTAAGTCCTCTGTCATCTTTTGAGGAAATGGGCTGGGCTTAGTTTCGAAGTTTGTTGCCAAAAGAGATTGAATGGACTCTTGTGAGGTCTTTCATAAAAGCTGCTTACAGGCAGATGTAAGTGTCTATGAATTTTCTGAGGGGTAGAGACTTGGGCCTTGCCAAGCCTGATTACCAGGAGGTTGCTAAGAGCCTCCGGAGCCCAGTAAGGGGAGGTGTCAGATATGCTATAAAGAGCTGAGGGTCAGAAACTGGAAAGCATTAATTCAGAATGAAATCTGACAGTGCCGAGTTTCTTTCACTAAGAGCTCAAGTTCACTAACTGGGCAATATTTACTAGCTCTAGCTCCGTGGCATTTTAAGAACAGCAACTGACCTAGACCCATATGCATGCCATTTTGCATTCTTCTTTCAAAACTTAACATTATATAAGAAGCAATTTCTCCATATTCTTTTGTATTTTATATAATCTTTAATTTCTAATGTCTACCTAAGATCCAAGGGAGCTCTGGTAGCATAGTGGCTAAGGCACTTGACTGCTAACCAGAAGGCTGGTGGTTCAAATCCACCAGCCACTCCTCGGAAGGAAGATGGGGCAATCTACTTTCGCAGTGATACTGCCTCGGAAACACAGGAAGGGGTCGCTATGCGTCAGGTCTGACTCGACGGCACATAACAACAACAGCAACACCTAAGATCCAAATGTAACACTTGGATTTTAACAGCTGGTTTCAATGAGTAAATCATATGTGGGAGTTTTAGGCTCTGTAGTGGGCCAACCCAAGAAATATTTTTGGGTAACTGGGTTAAGAGGTGAGGGTACCACTTTCTTATATCTCAGAAATTATACCTTACACGTAACTATGTAAGGTCAACCTCAGGAGAAAATAAGCAAAAATTGAATGTATATCTATATATGTGTGTGTATGTGTGTGTGTATTCAGAAGACATAGGCATATTATTTATAAAATTCCTCAAAATAGTTAAGAAATCTTTATAATCTTTATAAGTGTACATTTCCATTCAGAGACTTAGTTCAGGACCTCAGCTGTCTTTACAACCATCGCTGAGGAGAAAAGTATGTGGCTGTGAAGGCTTGCCTCTTTTGCACACACTGAACTCAAACAAACAACCCCACTCCCAGAACAGGTTCTAACTCTCCTCTGTAAGGTAGCTATTTCAAGGGTGGAAACTTTTTTTTTTTTTTTTTTTTTTTTTTTTTACAGTACTTCATAATTTAGACCCTCAGGGAAAGCAGGACACTGCACTGATATTAGGCAGCCTCATGCACCCAGACCTTGGTTATTTTAATAAATAATACCACTGCCTGTGTGAAAAGTTGCAAACGATTATGAATGACCATAGTGATTTGAGATTTATTTTGTATGTATGTCTCATGTAACCTTCCCTCACTCCACCCACACTGGCTCATTTACTTAATTCCCACTTAGAAAGTAGCTTGCCTCAGCCCTTTACCCCGCCCACCTACTCAGTCCCTAGGGTCCTTCTCTGCGATGTTTTCTTGGAAACTTTACCATAGGTAGATCTAGGCAGGGTCTAATAGGATAAGATTGTGGGGGAGACAACTTTGTTGATAGGTACTTGCAACAATATTGCAGGGCCCTGGCTTCCTTCTCAATATCCTACTCCAGATTTCTCATACAGTTTCTTGAGCTTCTCAGATGCCCAAAGTAGCTCCTAGGTATCCCGCTAAGGGCTGGCCTCTGAGGAAGTGATTCTGCTCAAGATCACACATTCTATTCTCATGCTAGCTAGATCACAGTTATACCCTGGACATGGCCTATGTGTAAATTTTAGGCAAGGCTAAATGGGTTCCTTCTCGGATTCTGAGAATCTGGACTATATGAAGAAAAACGAGGCATCAGGATTGGAGGAAGAATCATTAACAACCTGAGATGTGCAGACGATATAACTTTGCTTGCTGAAAGTGAGGATGACTTGAGGTACTTACTGATGAAGGTTGAAGAATACAGTCTG